AAAATAAAATATATTTTTTGTTTTTAATTTCATATATAATAACTATTAAAGTATTATTCATACAAATATATACATTATATAAAAAAAAGAAATGAAATTATTATTTTAAATAAATAATCTATGCAAAGCCTGTAAATATCAAAAATATACTCTAAATATATAAAATATATTTATTTAATACATCAACCATACAAATGCAACATTTTGTTAAATTTAAAAACAAAATGAATAATGAATTTAAATTATTCCAATAACGGATTGTAAATCTCAGTTTATTTATTCATGCAGGACTTGATTTGCTGTCAAAGCCAAAGATAAACTTATAAATTTACAACAATTAGTTTTTGCCAAGTCATAAAATAGGTTTATAAAGCGTATAAATAATAATAGGTTTAAAATTAATTTTATTGCTGAAACATTGAGTTGAGTGCTTTGTGTGTGCTCAAATTTCCACATGAGAGACTAAAGTTGACAAGCAAATTAAATATTAAATAAATATATCAAAGCGGCGTTAAAGCCTTTTAAAGTGCATATGCCATGCAATATATTGTAATATGTTTATATGTATGTATATGTATAAACAAGTTTTTTATTATTTGCCTAAGCTTGTGCCACATCCATATGTATTTGTAGCTATTTAGCTATAAGCAATTGATGGCAGAAACAATAAATAGGTAATTGGAATGTGTAAACAATTGCATGAAAATTTGCTAATCATAACGCACACACAATTTGCTAACACAAATTGAATCGCACACATACACACACACACACACACACACAAGCTTGGCCTCTTCAGCTGCTGCGTTTCGTCGTTCCTTAACAATTTGCCTTCTGTGCCTTTGACTCCATCGTAATGCCGTTTACAATGAGTCGTAAAGTAAATTTAAGCGGCTGCCGTTTGACTTTTATCTATGTATGTGTGTGTGTGTGTGTGTGTGCGTGTGTATGCGTATGTATGTGTGTGAGTGTGCGTGTGCCTCTTTGACTTTGCTTGCGGACTTTGAGCCACAGCGTGCGCCTGCTCAACTAAATCTCAGCTAGAACAATGGCCGGCGATAAACGAGCAAAAGCGCAATAACATTAACCGTTAAAGAAGGCAGCGCTGTCGCGCTGTGCGGCTAAAGCCGGCTGCTTGGCCAAATATGCGGCAGTTGACCCAATTCTCTCGTTCGCGCTACCAAACTCTTTGGGCCAAGCGATTCAATCGTCTGCGTCATTGGTGAAGAGTTGACGATGAAGCGGAATGTAGAGGAGGAGGAGGAGCAGCTACTGCTTACTATGGCAACATTGCCAACTTTGACTGTGCTGCTGCCGCTGCCGCTTGGCTGTATTTGGCACACATACATGTACACACACACACACACACATACACACACACACACACACACACACATGCATGCAGGCACATACGCACTCTTTGCCCTGTCAGGCATGTATTGGTCTATCTCTTAAGCGCCCAAGCAGTCACTTATCTATGAGTATATGTGTGTGCCTCTATGTGCTTGTATGTGTATGTTTATATGTCTTGTGTGTTTTTATGTGCGTACGTATGTGTGTGTGCCTGTGTGTACTTTTAGCAAGCCACTGACGTAATTTTCTTGAGCTTCCGCAAATGCATTTTCAGCTAGAGATGAGCGCGTGCAGATCTAGAAATTCAATGAAAATATTGAAATACAGATATTACTATATATGAGATGTATACAGAAAATTCTTTAAATAAATTAATTAAATAAATCAAAAATTAAATAAAATAATCTTATTTACCATTCCTTAGGGTAGACAAAATTAAATTGAAATATATTTAAGAAAGCTCAATTAAAATACATTTCCAGATTACGCAACTATTAAATGCTGAATTGTTTACCTAGAATTAGGACTACATTTATCGTAACTCAAGCCGAAAGCTCCAGCTGGAAGTGCCTATATTCTTAAGTCGGTTTTAATTCTAGAATAATGATAATTTCTAATAAATATCCAGAAAATGCTTAAATTTTAATATAAGACTAAGGTTTGAAAAATGTCCATATATAAACTATGATCTCCATAAGATTTACCTCTTCTCGTATTTTATTTTATTTTAATTTTTTTTTTTATTTTTTTTTTATTTATT